AGTTTTTGATGGAAGAAAGTGTAAAATAATAATTTGTCTCATTAATTTATTCAAAAGTATGAAGAAAAAAATAAAAGTTGCCCCAGTGTTCATGTTGATATTTTATCTATTCTTAATATATATAATGTTATCTGTCTCCGTGTTTCTCTATCTATCTATCTATCTATCTATCTATCTATCTATCTATCTATCTATCTATTATCTTACATTATCCAGCCAGAAGAGACCAATCAAATATATATTTGAAATTAATTATTTTTTAAAGTCAGAATATTATTCCCTAAAATAAAACATAACACCAACATATATAGCAACAAAAACACACATCATCATTAGCCATAGTCTTTAATTTAATCTAAAACTATGTCAGAACATCTCTGGTAACATCTCTGGCCTGGTTTCAGAAATGTTATTAATGTCATTGATGATACTTATGATTTAACATGAATTCAGATTGTGGCAATTGAAGGATATAGTTATTTCAAATAATTTGAGTTGTTTTAGCAACGGTACTACTCAATTACTATAATACAAAATTCACATGGAATAAATAATGATAAGCTACAACACATAACATATGACTTTAAAGTATGTTATTTTATACTGAATGTAAATTGTACAAAAATAAACACCAACATCAGGAGACTTAATGATTTTTTATCATCAGATTTTCTTTGGTGTTCATGGCAGGTCTCAGAATAATAATGTAGCATTTGGGGATAAAGATGCAGACTAGTAAACCCAGGCTGGAGGCCAGGATGGAGAAGATTTGCACGGCTACCATGTATTTCCCTTTGGAGCTCAAGTAGGTGGGTACAAAGGAGATCCATACACTACAAAAAACCAACATGCTGAAGGTGATCAGTTTGGCTTCATTGAAGCTCCCTGGCAGTTTTCGAGCCAGAAATGCCACCAAGAAGCAAATGGCAGCCAGAAAACCCATGTAGCCAAGGGCACTGTAGAACATGGCAACTGAGCCTTCATTGCACTGCAACAAGATGTGTCCTGGTTGGGAATGAAAGTCGGAATCTGGGAATGGGGGGTAAATTCCCAGCCATATCATACAGATGCCTACTTGAATAGTAGAGCAGGATAAGACAATAGAGTTGGCCAGACTCTTCCCCAGCCATTTCCTCATGCTGCTGCCTGGCTTTGTGGCCAGAAAGGCCACCACCACCATTACCGTCTTGGCCAGCACAGAAGATACAGCAACTGAGAAAACAATACTGAAAATGGTTTGTCGAAGAAAACAAGTCATTTTTATGGGGCGACCAATGAATAGAAGAGAGGTCAAGAAAGAAAGCAGGAGTGAAACCAGGAGGATATAGGTGAGTTGACAGTTGTTGGCTTTGACTATGGGAGTTTCTCGGTATTTAATGAAAGTTCCCAGAACAAAGGCAGTGATCAGGGACAAGGCAATGGCAAAGAAAGCCAGGATGAATCCCAACAATTCTTCATAGGATAAGAAGCTTATACTTTTGGGGACACACTGATCTCGCTTCTTATTGGAATAATGGTCATCTGGACACTTGTCACAGTGGGATGCATCTGAAAAAAAATTGTTAGCATGTATCTGTTTCTGCAGCTGTAGGAGCATGAAAACCACAACAAAAATCAATTACTTCATTTTCAAGGAACAATATAGTATTTCTGCCCAGAGATATCCATATGACACAACATTTGTTAAAATAGTCAACATTCTTTTTTTGAAGGCTAAAGATAAATGTGATTATCAGCTCTCAAAGACTTCTCCTCTTGCCTGAAACCAAACAAGAAAATTACAACTCAATAGGAATCAACAACCTTTCATTATTTATTTTAATGTTCACATCATCATACAAAATTTGGTGATAGTGTCCAGTCTTTGAAATGTTTGTGGATGCCTTCAAAAAATTTAATGTTTTTCTTGCTTCTTTATCAAATACCCTAAAAAAGTAAGAGAGAATATTGATTGTATGGACTAAAAAAGGAAAGAAAAAAAAGAAAAACCTCGGTGGATGATATGGAAGAACGTGTCTCTTACAAGGAAAGTATGTGTCTCTTGTCAGTATCGTCGTTTGACCACGAGGGAGAGAGTGTTCGAACCGTATTGGACCCCTCGTTGAAAGACATGTAGAACTTATTCCGTGGCAGATAACATAAACAGAAAGATTACTTAGGGCAATATATAAATTAGAAGGGCTTAGTGAAATCAACTGGTTTCCAGAAGCTCAGAACACACTGAGCAAAATCAGTCAAGGACTGGTGGCATGGGTTTTAATTACTCTGCTTGCAAGTGGCAAATAAAAGATGATTCTCTTTCTCTATCAATCTCTAATGCAGATCCCAAAACAGACTCATTGCCTTATTCTTCTTTCCAAAGGAAAGTAGTTCCATTGCAAAAGGTTTTTCTCCTTAGGGCATTTATGAGAATGCTATAATTTTTTTTTTACCAACTGTGCTTTCTCAGGAAACCTCCAAAATTGAGCTTTCTCTTCAGTCATTATTTTTCTCTCTTACAATTGATCATTGTATAATTTTATGTAAATGACTTTTTAGCTGCCCTCATTTCCCTCACCACATTCTTAATGACATCTTTCTCTTATGTAACTCAGTGGGCTAAGTTCTTCATATTCTGGATTTTTCCCAAAGGTACTTTTTCAAAAGGCAACTGGTCTTTGTTTTCCCTTGAAGACATTTCGCTTTTCAACTCAGAAGCTTCTTCACTTCTGACTGAATGGTGGAGGATGAAAGGATTTATATTCCTTGCAGTCATCTGGTCATTAGCAGTCTTTCTGAGAGTTGTTAAGGCTACTTGGAGGGTCACCTGAATAGTGCAAATGGGTGTGGAACCTTGGAACTGCTGAATCTATATCCTGTTTACAACATAGTCCTTCAGCAGTTCCAAATCCTTCCATCCTCCACCATTCAGTCAGAACTGAAGAGGTTTCTTGTATGAGAAGTGAAATGTCTTCAAGGAAAAACAAACTCCAGGTGCCTTTTGAAAAAACACCTTTGGCACAACAATGACGTGGATGACCAAGAATCTCCATAGACATTTTGGATTTTCTCTTACTGAAAACAAGATGATTTGATATACTGTAAATTATGGCTTCCTATTCCAATTTAATAATATAGATTGCAAATCCCATAATACAATTGATGGTACAGCAGGTTTCATTGTGTGATAGATTACTGAAAAAACTCTAAAATAAAATGTTATCTAGTAAATTAATGAGGCTTATTTGGAAGTCATCACAATTGGCTTCAATAAGTATTATTTCTGAGCAGAAAAGTTTGCACATATGGAGGTAAATAAAAGAGCAAAAACCAAGCAGCAGCAGCTACTTTGTTAAATGATGTTGGCCATTGAATGGCACTCTGATTGATGGAAATCTTGATTTCCGAGGAGGCTTCTCTTTCTACACTCCCAATTTTCACCCCTGCATCAGACTTTTCCCAAAATGATGTCCAGTGCATGATATCAAAGTCACCAAGAGGAACTCCATTTTCATCAAAATAAATCCCATCTCTGGAAATATTGTGATGTTGGAAGTTTTTCAGGAATCTATGAAGCTGCAGAAACAGAGAAAAAAACATTACAATTTGAGCCTTTATTCAATGTTTTTCTGCTATTATTCTGGACTGGAAGTACTCTGAATAATTCCACCTCGTCAGATCACCACTACAGTCTGAAAGAGATTGATTCAACCTTTCATGGGACGCTTCTCTCATCATTCTCCAGGGCTCCACAGCTCTTTTTCAGATATTTATCTCACATTCTTGAAAATGTGGGATAGACAATACCACCACCAAATGGTTTATAACTGGCTGACAAATCATACTCAATGTGTTGTCCTCTAGGGAGCTACATCCATATGGAGAGAATAAGCTGTGGGATACTCCAAGATTCCATTTCAGGCCCAACACTCTTCAATATCTTCATAAAAAATCTAGACGAGGGAATTGAAAGGGAACTCATCAAATCTGCAGATAATACTAAACTGGGAGTCCTGATCAAGATGAAGTTAGCAGAGCTTAATTTTGGGCTAGGAATGCAATACAAATTGCATAGTGATGTTATCTCTTTCAAAAACTAGCTATGGAAGCCTATGCATTAGTTCAGGAGATGTGTGGATGAACTTTTTGTGGCCCTCAGAAAATGCTTTGAAAAGACATTGATTTATATCTTATTGCTATGTTAGAAATTTTTAGCTAGCAAAGTCCAATTTGAATCCAGAACAAACAATCAAGCCTAACTCCTTAGCTTGGAAACTAGATCACTTTGTGATCACAAGAAAGGGTTGAGGATTGCTGGAATATTCTCATACTTATTTAATTTTGAAAATCACATTGTCACCATAGAGCTATTTCTGTCTCAAAAGTATCCTATACCAGTACAGTTTGTTTAACTTTGGAAGATTTTTCTCCATCATCTCCTTCTCTAACTTACTCTCAAATACTACAAACTGGGCAATTGTTCTTTGGAATATTCCACCCCTCTCTACATCTAATTTAATACTGAGGAATTGGAAGGAGGAAATAAGTAGAACCTCAAAGAAAAAGACTTACCTGCCATGGCTGTACAATCTGGGATGATTCATGGTATCCAACTTGCATTCTCCTCTTACTCCATTGGGAGGAAGAGGCAGCACTGAGGACCCATGCCACAGTTTGAATTACTTTGGAAATACTGGAAGGATCCTGAGAGAGGATTCTTGCAATCACATCATGGGGTGGGAATTCCCAGTTCTCTTTTTCTTTGCATTTTTTCCAAACTTTCTTAGATAACAAAGGACTTGAAATGGAACATTGGAATGCTTCCTTTCCATACACGGTGACCATAGATGTATAAGATGTAAAGTCATAATACTGAGTCCTTCTCTTTGTCTGGATGAGGAAGGAAAACAAAGCATATTTATTTTGGAGATCAAGCCAGTGGTCAAAAATACCTACACTTAAAGCTGTCAAAGTTGTTGCAATCCACACTCTTCCCACAATGAATTTCTTACTCTTCTCAAGCCATTGTATTACTGTTGTTAGTATCCCCGAGGCCTTAAAATCCAGTTGGCATACTATAATTTTTATTTGACTCTTGATAAGAGAAAGGAATATTTCCCGTTTTTCTTGCATGAAGGTTTCTCCAGCACTTGTCTTCATATTTGCTTCTGGGATGGTTCCTGAGAGGACAATGCAAATCCCATTTTTTAGAGCAAGAGCTTCCAAACTTCTTTTGAATTTTTCTCCTCTGTTATTGTCCAGAGAAAGGAGGCCGATCCACATCCATTGGAAATGCAGGAGCAGTTTGACAATCGCAGAGTAGGGAGGTTTTTGGTTTGGGGTCATCCGATATGAAAAAGGAAAATGTTGATTTTGCTCAGCAATCTGGTTGATGACACTATAGTTGATCTAAGATAAAACAGAAAGTATTGGTAATTTGGGTCAGTTTTAATGATAAAAGTCGCATGGTAAATCTAAGGGCCTTTCCCCACTGCTGAGAGAAGTTTCAAACAGTAACTGCATGAATTTTACTGGCTCCCTTGATGTTCTGTCCTTTTGTCTTGTATGCTCCCTTTGAAATTAGGGAGCTCTGAATTATCTGTGGGTGATGTTCATGGGTGGTCCTGATGGAGCACATCCCTCTGGTCAACAACCTAGGTCAGTGATGGCGAACCTTTTAGAGACCGAGTGCCCAAACTGCAACCCAAAATCCACTTATGCATCGTCAAGTGCCGGGTGGGTGTGGCTCATTGGGTGGGTGTGGGCAATTGAGTGGGCGTGGCCAACTGGGTGGGCGTGGCTGCAGTGGTAACGTTAGACTGGGTGGGACTAAAAAGTTCAATCAATTCCAACTTTCCAAGATCTTTTTTTTTCCCGCGAAAAGTTGAAATTGACTGATTGAACCTTTTTTTTTTTACACACGGTGGTGGAGGCCTAAAGGGAAAAGGTTTTGTAAAACCCAGCTGAAGGCCTAGGACTGGGGCGATGGTGCACGTGCCCACAGAGAGGGCTCTGAGTGCCGCCTCTGGCACCCGTGCCATAGGTTCGCCACCACTGACCTAGGTCACATGAGCCCTACATACTCTGTTTTTCCCCACATTGTAACTCTGTGGGTCACCCACCCACTCATGGAATATCTTTTTAAACTGACAAACATGTTAAATTCTCATAGAATATTACTGCTTGTTTCATTGCTTCAGGCATAGGACCTGGTTATCTCCGAGACCGCCTTCTGCCACAGATTCCCTCCCACAGACCGGTACGCTCCCACAGAGTGGGTCTCCTCAGGGTGCCGTCGGCCAAGCAATGTCGGCTGGTGACCCCCAGGGGGAGGGCCTTCTCTGTGGGTGCCCCCGCCCTCTGGAACGAACTACCCCCCGAGATCCGGATGATTCCGGATCTCCTTACTTTCCGCCGCGCCCTCAAGACATGGCTTTTCCAGCAAGCGGGCCTGGCCTAGGGAGGATTTTAAATTGGGTTTATTTTAAGAAAATTTTAAATAGCACAACGTGAAATATTTGGTTTTAATTGGTTTTATTTGGCGGGGATTGTGGACGCGTTTTTGTTTTTAAATATGTTGTGAGCCGCCCTGAGTCCCGTCGGGAGAAGGGCGGGATATAAATCAAAATAATAAATAAATAAATAAATATGGTGGTCTTGAAATATTGTTGTTATATCCCCCCTAGCAATTGTTTAATATTGGTATATTATTTCATTGTCTTCATTCATATAATTGTTTTCAAATATTTGTATATGAACTCTTTAATTGGTTGAATTTCTTTCAGACATTTGGAATGCAGAAGTCTGTTTAATAACCTCACTTTAAAAAAAAAAAACCAAGACAACTGGCATTCTGCCAAGCTCCAGTTCAAAATAGGAAAGAATATTATGACATAATATCTTTTGTCTTGTACGCTGGAGAAAGTATGTAAAAACTGCTTTCTGGCGGTGCCTTCAAGCTGTCTTGACCCATTCGTTTTTCTTGCATATCTTTCTTTTCCAATTTTTACTTCAGTCTCAAGATTATAAAAATGAGGAATTCCTCACTGAAAATTATTAAGAGTTGGAAGAAGAACAGACTGAATGGAAGGTAAACTTATTAGGACAACTGTAGGAAACTGGAATAATGGGGAGGCAACCAAAATAATAATAATAATAATAATAATAATAATAATAATAATAATAATAATAATAATAATAATAATAATAATAATAATAATAATAATAATAATAATAATAATAATAATAATAATAATAATAATAATAATAATAATAATAATAATAATAATAATACAGTTGGAAGGGACTTTGGAGGTCATCTAGACCAACACCCTGCTCAGGCAGGAAACCCTATACCATTTCGGACAAATGGCTGTCCAGTTTCTTCTTAAAAACTTCCAGTGTTGGAGCATTCACCGCTTCTGGAGGCAGGTTGTTCCACTGGTTAATTGTTCTAACTGTCAGGAAGTTTTTCCTTAGTTCTAAGTTGCTTCTCTCCTTGATTAGTTTCCACCTGTTGCTTCTTGTCCTGCCTTCAGGCGCTTTGGAAAATAGCTTGACTCCCTCTTCTTTGTGGCAGCCCCTGAGATATTGGATCTCTGCTATCATGTCCCCCCTCGTCCTTCTCTTCGTTAACTAGACATACCCAATTCCAGCAACCATTCCTCATATGTTTTAGCCTCCAGTACCCTAATCATCTTTGTTGCTCTTCTCTGTACTCTTTCTAGAGTCTCAACATCTTTTTTACATTGTGGTGACCAAAACTGGATGCAGTATTCCAAGTGTGGCCTTACCAAGGCATTGTAAAGTGGTATTAATACTTCACGTGATCTTGATTCTATCCCTCTGTTAATGCAGCCTAGCACTGTGTTGGCTTTTTTGGCAGC